TCATCTTTTATATATATATATATATATATATATATATATATATATATATATATATATATATATATATATATATATATATATATATATATAATTTTGGAATCACTTTCCTTCCGGTCCAAGCAAAGGGCGATATACCGCTGAGAGAAAATCGACGGTTAGATCCTATATCGCGTTGGAAGTCACGGCCCCCTTTTCTTGTTGCACCAACCGTTTCATACACTAGAATCAGTTCTCTCCAAACAACAAACGCTCGGCCACCGCTGGATCTCCCATGACATGCTGCGTAGCCAATATAGATACGATGATAAGGAAGGTAAGTTTGGGTTCGTTGTTGATTAAGTAAGCAAAGAAATTTGGTTTCGTACCCTTTCCCGGTTAACATATAGTAGAGCAAGGATTCCTCCGTGAAGAGAAGGGAAGCGAAAGGTTCGTCGACTAGGGTTAGGGTTTCTTTTCCGGCGGAATCGTTGATCTATCGATCGATCGATCGATCTCATAGACATGGCGTTGGAGTGGGTGGTGCTGGGCTACACGGCGGGCGCGGAGGCGATCATGCTGCTCTTCCTCACCCTCCCGGGGCTTGACGGCCTCCGTCGCGGGCTTGTCACCGTCATCCGGAGTGCCCTGAAGCCGCTCCTGTCGGTGGTGCCCTTCTGCCTCTTCCTACTCGCCGACATATACTGGAAGTACGAGACGCGACCGACCTGCGAGCAGGAATCCTGCAGCCCTTCCGAGCACGTCCGCCACCAGAAGTCCATCATGAAGAGCCAGCGCAACGCTCTCCTCATCGCCTCTGCCCTCCTCCTCTACTGGCTCCTCTTCTCCGTTACAAGCCTTGTCGTCCGCATCGATCAGCTCAACCAGCGCATCGAAAAGCTCAAGCGCTCCGAGTGAGCCCAAGATCTTTAGATCCGAACGGAGAGTACATGTGCCTTCATATTACGTTCGGGCTTGGCCGATTTCGCCCTTTCTTTATCAATGGACCCACTTTACCTTTTTGATGTTAAAGATGTAGGTTTTATTTGTATGCTCTGTTGCTGATTTATGCATCTTTGTATGGTTGAGACCAGTATAAGTAATCGTTATTTGCTTTTTAATTCTTAACTAGCCTGTTATGAGATTTGTGAAATTACTCGGATGATTATGGTCTTTGGTTTCAGTTATTGGTGAAAATAATGGTGCTCTTGCATCATCTTATCTGGCTGAACTTTACAGTTTCTCTAGTTATTGTTCTTGACTGATTAGACGTTCATTAATGCTGCGTCTATTCACTAACTAGTTCTGCTATTTCATGTTGGCTTTATATGTTGTACCTCTTTTTGTGATTATGTAAGTTTCCACAAGTCATTCTTCAGCACCTACTTATAGTTGCTCTAATAATCATAGTTAGAGACTGGAGTGCTAGCATCTCTCTTCATTATAAGGGGAGTGGGTTATCAGTTGTTCGGTGGATGTTGCAAGGGTTTTGTGAGTTTAATAATCTACTATGATGCGGAGGTTTGTTTCTAAGACTCAAAAGAATTAGCTTGTTCTGCTTCTGTTACTTTTTGTTGCTATAGAAGAACTGAATTATTGATGTTAATATTTATATCTGGTGGTTTTTCTAGGTCACGCCATTAGGTGACTGCCTATAGTTTTTTTCTTAATTGATCTTTCTTTGATATTATGTTTTGTCAATGAGCTCTTAGTTCTCTTCGCAACTAGGAACCTTAGCAAACCTTGTTTGTTACTCATGTTGCAAGGTATGATAATTCCAAATGTCATTTTAAGATGGTTTGAATGGTGAAGTCCGTCGGGAGTAAGTTGCATGTTTTGCAGTTTGATCATAATAATGAGTGTTATGCACTTGCTTTAGATACTTTGAATATAAAAGTATATCGTTATATTCACAGAGATGCTATTTGATCCATTTATTTTTCAGATATCTCTGAGTACCTAAAAAATCCTCTGGAAGTACATCATATTGCCTTAGTTATAGACGGAAGGTAGTTTCTGTTTTTTATCATTAAATAAATTGTCATGTAGTTGTGATTGGCATAAGGAGTCTTCATCAAACAGTGTAGATTACATAAATGTTATTTATGAGAATAATGGACTATGGGGATTTAGATCTGATTATAAGTAATTGCGAATATTATTGCATGCATTAATTTTCCAACTGGAGTTCTTGTTCTTTTCATTCATGCAATGATTGCTACTTTTTGCTATTTTGGACCTTGTTTTATTCATACTTTGATTTTTTTCTTAATATGATTTGTACAATCCTTTTAATAGTCTGCATTCTTTTGTATGCCAATTTTTTCTTTTATTTTGATTCTCTTTTTGCTTATTGTTATTCAAATATTATAGATTGGTACAATGTTTCTACTTTTCTGCCTTCTTTTGTGTCATTTCTCATCTTTCCTATTTTCAATATTTTATTCTTTGTTTCTAGAATGAGTATCAATATATAAATTTGTACTTTGCTTATACAATGAATATCAATATATAAATTCGTACCTTTTTTCTTACCATTTTCTCTCCTTTTTGTGCTTGATCCAGATACAGCAACTATAAGACCAAATACAGAAGTAATCTTTCTTGTAAACTTTTGTCTCTTCATGGAATTTCTTTTGTTTTTCCTAAGACTGAAATTTGCTCTATCAATCCTTTTTCAAATCCTAGATCCAGTGTTTATGATATGCCCCTGTGCTGCTTACCTTTGATGAAAGATTGAGCCACTCTCAACTCGTGGCCTCAGAAAATAGTTAATTAAGAGTTCATCAAAACGTAAGAATCACTTTTCAAATCTGTTTGAAGAGTGAGCCTAAATCATTGAAGAAAGTAGGATATTTTGTTCCAGCTGCTACTTTTGCTTACATTAGGTGGTCAAATGAACTATTTGTTTTGATAACATGTTCCAATTCACGACAGAGGGCAGCTTCTAGAGAAGAGGTTAGTAGAGAGATTTTGTGAAAAAAAGTACATCCCTGCACCATCAATTTGAGAGACCATTTTTCTATTAACCTTGTTGAGACTTATTTCATCTTGTAAACTGAAACTCAATAACTTCTATCCCCCAACATGGAAATAAATTTGGAACTTGAACAAAACTCACAATTTTAGGCATTACCAGGTTATATGCAATTTCTACAGCCTGTGTCAGTGGTTCTTTGCAAATGACCATTTAAAATGATGTTATATTCCTTGAAAGATTGTTCCACTTCTGATTGTATTAGTTTGTCTTCCAGGTGCTAAATTGGTGCTCCATTTTCTGACATCCAAGCCATATACGACCAACTATAATTATTCTACAAGTTCTAGTATATTGTGGAATTTTGATTGTACTAATGGGATAGTTGTTAGTTATGATAAATAAGCTTGTTGTTTTGTCTGAACATATAGATACTGTTTACATCTAGGTTAAGTTGATATGAGATTGTTTCCTAGTATTCCAAGTTTAAAGATATCTTTTCTATACTTAGAAGGCAAGAGTTGGTGTCAGTGTATGGTTGCTTATCCACAACCTGGGTTACAAATGTTTGAGTTACAAAGACATCCTTTGGCTTGTAAGAGTAGAGCTGTGTATGTTGATCCTTCTTGGACTCGTTGTTCTATGAATTTAGTACATTGAACCACCATTTTTTATAATCCATAGAAGACGATTAGTGTATAAAATGTCAAATTGTTTATGAGCTTGAAATTTAGCATATAGGAAACACTGTTAGATGTGTTGAAGTGTTATCTCGCTGATGAGATGTAGTTGAAACCGAAACCTGACGATAGTATATAACAAGTCGTGGATGTTGCTGATGATAGTTAGAATTAAATACAATAATTAAATCAATACTAAGTGGTCAGCAATGGCTAATTGCATCAGCTGAATCATATTAGAGTTTTAAATTTCCTAATTTATGGATTGTTCATGTTGATCCTCCTAAGTTTCCTCTCATATGGTCATGCATGTGTGAGGGTGACCAAGCAAGCAGGTCAAGTCCAGAGCCTTTGTGTTATCAACTTGAAAGAATTTTAAGCTCTGAACTTTCCTCCGAGTCTTCCTGTTTGCATATCTCCATACTTATTTTCATCTTTCATCTCTATTCATGTCCTGTTAGGATGGACAATTTCATCCTGTTCACCATTATCTGTTATAGCTGTCTTCTGATGCCAATTAATTTGTTCCTTGCTTTGAGGATGATTTAGTGTGTCATCATAAGCATCCTTGCTTTTC